GATGTTCTTTCTTTCTATTTTTTTTTTATTCTACTACCACTACCTCCTCCTTTTTCTTCCCAATTATACCCCACCTCTCTCCACTTGTTTTAAAACTTGGCTTATAACAAGGATAGCAAAAATTGTACAAATTGTTCTTTTGGTTTTGCTTCATTCTGCATTAGCTCAAACAAGTCTCTCCAAGGTTCTCTTAATTTGTTTTTTTTTTAATAATTTCTTGTAGTGTAATAACATTCCATTTTATTCATACACTATAATCTGTTCTGTTATTTTCCAACCAATGGTCACATTCTTAGTTTCTGGTTCTATACTATGATAATAATGATAAAAAATAACAGCACCAATAATAAAGGATACTGGCGTGAATGTTTATGTATGTATCGACATGATCTTGGTTGAGTCACTAATCTCTTGGCCTCAGTTCCCTCATCTGTAAAACAGGGATGATAATAACACCTACTCACAGGATTGTTGTGAGGATCAACTTAGGTAACAGATATAAAGTGCTTAGAAAAGTCTTAAAGTACTATATTATTATTATTATTATTATTATTATTATTATTGTGATTGTTATACAGGTCTTGCCCCTCTTTTATCTCTAGGTCATGGGACCTGGCTGGTCATGCATATGTGAGTCTTGTACTCACATATGTACTTGTGGTATGAGAGCTACTGGCTTCTAGTCCTCAAGGTTGGAGCTTTCCACTGTCCAGTCCTACCCTTTCCAGCTTCTCTGTGACATGTCCTAATGTTATATGTGTAAGGCATCTGAGTTGGTGCTTATTTTGCTAAAAGTAAGGGAATTAGGAGTCTGCAGCCCTTAGTTCTGTCCCATTTGTGTCCTAGGCAACCTTCAGTTCAATTTAAGAGACATTTATTAAGCACCTACTGCGTGCTGAGCACTGTGCTAAGTACAAAATTCAAACAATCGTCCATGTTCCCACGGCACTGACGGTCTGGTATAGGATTATTAAATTTCTTTGTGTCAGGCATCCCTTGGGTTGTCTATTGATACTTAAGAACTACTTTTCAGAATAAAGTTTGTTGACTACATTCATAATTTAATGTAGTCACAATTTAAGTTAAATTTTATTTAGAGATTAGTGAAAGTAAAGATGATTTTTTTCCCCATCCAAGCTCATGTACCCCCTGAAATCTAATCATGGATCCTCAAAGGGTTAAGAAACCCTGGTCTAATAGAAGGATAAAGAAAATACACAGGAAAAGCCATAATGTGCAAAAATACACGACAAACACACTAGAGATGTGTGAAGCAACTTTGTGACATCTGGGATTAGTAGAATGTAAACTCCTTCAAGGCAGGGGGTACATGGTATAGAGGACAGAATGCTAGAGGTGGAGGCAGGAAGACGAGTTCAAATCCTTCTTTAGCCACTTTCTAGATATGCAATGCTGAGTAAGAAAATTAACCTCTGTGTGCCTCAGTCTCCTTACCTGTAGAACAAGGAGGTTGGGCTTAATAGCTTTTAAGAACATGGTCTTAAAGCTATTATCCAATTTTTGTCTTTGTGCCTAAAACACAGAAGATGTTAAACAAAAATTTGTTGAATTGAATTATGTTGCTAGCCAATCAGAAAGCAGCACAACCAGGATGTTTGACCACTGAACCATAGAAGGGACCCCTCCTCTATTACCTAATCCCTTAATATACCCTTCCTGCCTTTTTAATATTCATAATTTATGTTGTGTAATCAGCATTAAGACACTATAAATTTGCCTGCGTTTGTCTTATTAAGTTGCTAGTTCCTCTTGGAACTTGGCCTACTTCTGAGGGGTGTCAATCTCAATAAATACCTAAACTTGGATTAAAAATGGGCTGACTGAATTCTTTGAGATAGTGCCGCCACAACACACCATGAAACCGCAACAACTAGGCTCAACTGAACTCAGGGCAGGTTTCACACAACTTAATGTACTCTGTATTTCATACACCCTCTATGATCCAGTGGTTCCTCAAAGAAGACCCTCCATCTCCTGATTTTTGTGCCTTTTACCTGGCTGCTTCCGATGCCTGGAATGCTCTCCCCCTCATCTTCTCCACCACCTGGCTTCCTTCAAGCTTCCTTTAGCTAAAATCCCACCTTCTGCAGGTAGTCTTTCCTGATCCCTCTTAATGCTTGTGCCTTCCCTCATTGATTATTTCCAATTTATCCTGTCTATAGCTGGCTTGTACATAATTATTTGCATGTTGTCTCCCCTATTAGATTGTGAGCTCCTGAAAGTCAGGGACCATATTTTGCCTTTATTTGTATGCCCAGTGCTTAGCATAGTGCCTGGCCTGGCATATAGTGGGCATTTAACAAATGCTTGTTGACCGACTGACCAATTGAATCTCTGGACTTCCTGTTCTTCCAGGAACAGAGTGCTGCAGGTCTCTGATATGCATGGCCAGAGTTCTGGAAGCCTTTTACAGCTTTTTAACTTGTGTTTGCCCTAGCTTCTTCAGAGAACCAGACCCCTTTCACAGGGTCCAAAGGCTTCTGGCTTTCTTTTGGTACAGTCTTAATGTAATGGAGGGGGAGAAATGGCTGGCCAATGAGTTTCCAGTCCTAGAAATAGGCATAGGCATTCTTTGCAGGCTGCCAAAGCAACATGTGGAGGCTTGGTGAGCCTACTTCTATCCAGAAGTGACTAGGTGGGGCTGGTGAACGTGGTGAGGAGTAGTCTTCTGGTTGGCTGAGGAACTGGAAAGATTGATGACTAAGGAGGCATAAAGCCAGAACAGAGTTCACATTAAAAAGTATCAATACAATCCTCCCTATTTTGGGCTTTTCCTTCCTTCAAGCAAGCCTGCTATAAGCCACCAGGTTTTTTGTTTTATTTTTTGTTTTGTCATATTCTTTTGGGACAACTATGATCCTTAAGTGGTCTATATGCCTCTTGTCTTTGAGATCAATGTGTTTTGCTTGGATAGAAAAGATTTTCTTTTAATGTCATTGATTTTTTGTTTCTCTCCCAAATTCATATTCACTTCTGTGAATATGCATTCCTAATTATTTGTTCTCCCTTTAATTCTTTGGTGAAACTTGCCACCTTGGATTCAAATTTTTCTATTCTGCCAATTATTTCTGTTGTGGAGGCCATAATTTCTTTCATGATTCTTATTTGTCTCTTGAGCCATTTATGAACATCCTGATGTGATTCCATGTTATTTTGGAAATCAACAGGGTACTCTGCCTCATCAGATGTTGATTTATTTTCTTTTGTCTTGCAATATTTGTTCAGTGATGTTTGGGCTCATTTAGATGTCCTAGAGGCTATCTTCCTAGCGGTTACTAATGTCTTCCCTATTGGTTTATCTGCTTATGCTCAGAGTTTTCAACTGAGATTTTTTCTTTCTGAGATCTTTGGTAATTTCAGTCTTTTTCCTTCGTATTGTTCTTTTGATCATTATCTGGGATTTCCTATGGGCTAGATCTCAAAGCTTTCTTAGCCTCCTCCCACACTGGGAACTTCACTTCTAGTTTCTGCTCCAAGTGACTTCTAGGGGAATACAACTAACCTCATCTGGATGCCAGGCCTGGTAGAATCCAACCCTCACCCCCCCCACCACATACATATATGCTAGTACCTTGTCCCAAATATTTGTGACAAAACATGCTATTTGCCTCTGGAAAGTAAGCCAGACACCTGCCCCAGTTTCTTCTATTCCTTAGT